TACCATGACATCATGGCAGTTATATTTTATCTACCTTCAGATAAGCTCTTTAAAGTTTCATTCCTCTTTAATATACACAAGTCACTTCTGTGTCATCACACAGCGAACAGCTCACATATTCTTCACAATAGACTGTTAAAATGAGAATTGACTCCTTCGGGTACTAGCATACATTGTCCTCCTTTGAGCTCACACATTTGTACTCGGAACTCCACTACTGGTACCTAAATGAATACTTTTCCAGCCTCTCCTTCCTGACTTTAAAAATATACAGTTATCCTTGGAAACAGACTCGGAATGCATACCAGCCACCTCCCAGCACCATCACCAGGTCAAAGAGCAGATGCTGAGGTTGCACTGGCACTTCCCAGTTATCAAAGGTTTATGGTTTTACTGAATTCAGCTCTCTGGAGAGCTTGAAGAAACCACTGAACAACTTCACACAAGACAATTCACACTGACTATTCAGTTGATGCATATACCCAGGTTGATTTAGATGCTAACATACTGACTGTTACCACACTTGAGTGCTCCTAATACCTTTTGTAAAGGACGACTTAGCTGTCCTATCACTTCTAACATATCCTTGCCAGAAATCACTCCTGGTTTTAAACTGCTTTTCCCCAGAAAAACTCCCACACTTGAGAGTCTTCTGAATTATCTGCTATGGCCAAATAACCACACATAACCCAAAATAGCTTCCCCAGGAGATGAGTCTTGGTACAAGAATGAAAATTATGGTTTTGTTTCTATCTTCTGTTTCTTAAGAAAAGCTGTATTTTCCCAGATTTTCTGTTTAACATATATTCTTTTGTTAGACCTCTGCAGGACACGAGGAGTTTACTGTCTATGCGGATAAATTATAGCAAATTCAGACATTAAAGACCATGAGCTGTATTGCCACATGAATCAATAGTCAAGCCTCTTCTCTAACCATAGAATTGAAATTTTAAAAATACAACACTAGAGGCAAAAATCAAGTATTAAAAATGTTCAAACAAAACCCATTAGCTATTTCTTATTCATTATTTTTTCTTTAGAAAACAATTATGGCCAACCAGAACAGACACATGATGCAACAGGCAAATCATTTAAGAAACATAAGGCACTGACCAGCCCTATTATAACAGATAATAATCACAGGTATGTTGAAACAATTACATTTCTATATCTAATTATTTGGCGTCTTAGAACAAAGCAGAACTAGATCCACAAGGGAACCTAAATGCCATGCCACCTACTAGACTCCACAACCCACAAATAAACAATCAAGACCTGCTCTAAAATGAAAAGAACATGTTACAGATATTGTTCAGACATCTAACATTCAACTTGAGTAGGAACTGGCGAAGTCAGATAAGAATAAACATAAAGATCAGAGATTTAAGTTTTCAAAATTTCATGCCATGCTACGGAAAAAAAAAAAAAAACACCCCCAAGAAAAATCCCTTTCCTTTACTCTTTCAACACTTTGTAAGAAGGAAAAGAGACCTGAATCCATATCATTACTTTACATTGATCAAGCCAGTCCCTGGGCTACATATTCACTCCCTTCCTAAGTGACTACTACTCCTCAAGAATCAAACCAAAACACCCACTGGTCTGGCAGTTAAGGCATTCCTTTTGGGAATTGGCAGCTCCCCTAAAGAGTAGAAGGATTTGAATCCAAATCTTAATATGCTGAGTAGGCACTCAAAATAATTTCCACATCTTTAAAGAAATGCAACGTTACATCCTTTTTCTACCAAAAAAGAAGTGTGCAAGATTAGGTCTTCACAGAATCGGGGCATTCCTTTTAGAAGTGTGCAGTACTGATGGTATCTGTATTTGCTTTCTAATTTAACTTCTGCAACCTTTGAGAGTTACAGCATTTTTTCTTCCCACACAGCTATGCGTTAGTGTGCAATTAGACACCTAGCATTATAAAACAAGTCTTTACCAACAGACATACACAGCTGATCACCTCCCGTTAAAAACAATGAACAAACCCCAAAAGCCTCCTTTAAAATAGCCTGAGATATAAACTTAATTAGTTATAATTTCCTCTTTCTTCTGCTTCATACTTCAGCTTGAACTACACTAAGACATTATGTCTAGCTTGTCTAGCTGTATGGGAGTGAAGGGAAGAGGATGAGTACATAAAATGACCCTGTTGTCAGAAATGCCGTACTGAAGAAAGCTCCAAGGTAGATAACTACACCAGAAAAGCAATTCTGCCAGCAGACCTGATTTTAAACCACCACTTAAATTGTTTCCACTGAGTTTTCTGCCACGGACATTTTGCAAACCTTTTCAAATACACAATACTCTCTCTGCCCATTAATAAAAGGAAAACAATAGAGCAGTATTTAATTAATATTTACAAAAAGTCTTGAGGTTTTCAAATGCATGATCAAGGCAGTAATTAGTCTTCCAAATACCGTAATGTTGAGCATTTCTGCAACAGTGACTGAGAAAATACTTTTAAAATGTCAGTTGCTAAACATTTAAAGATTTTAAATATGGCACATGAATACAAATACAAATCCTGCTATCTAGCAAGTAGCACACTTTGAAATTTTAGCCTTCAGCATTCTAAAAGCCTAACACTGTAAAAGGAATGCATTTCAAAGTACAAACCGGGGGAAAAAAACCAGTAGCTGAAACAGTTAAAACAGTTTCCTTCTGATGTTAAGATCCAGTCTTTGAAGAGACATAATAGAATTTGCATCTAAAAATGCTGTAGGTTTTTTAAAAGTCTGCAACTTTTAAGTATAGCAGGAGAGTCTAACTAAAGCAGCAAATGAAGTATTAGGAAAATTTAATCTTTTTATTACAACAAATGTAATTATTTTATGATAAACAAGGGTCAATAAATGGATGCACATAAACTTCAGACTACATTAAGTTTTCTATATCCGTAACTCTCGGTATGAATCCCAACCTCTGCATTGCATTTTCTATGGTTCTTGAACACATTCTGCTGTGGTACTGAAAGATGCCTGTCACCCCTCAAGGGTCATAAGTAACTCCTGCAGATTCCTAAGCCAGATAAATCAGTCTACTGACAAATATTTTGATGCGCACTTCTAAGTTCAGAACTTTTGAGAAGAAATTCAATAAAAACTAAGTAAAATTACAGTCTTTACCAACAGCTAACTCTATACAGAAAAACACCACCCTCCACTGTTATTCCACACGTTGCAAGGTAATATGATACACATTGGAAAAATGTAAAAAAACACTTAAAAAAGATGTTCTGTGACCATGGACTAACATTTAAATCTCTATTACTTTATTAACAATAATGATAATTAAATGTAACATCCTACAATACTGCTTCAAAATGCTGAAATATTTTTGACGCCTTGTTGAAAGTGTCTACAATGCTAACCATTACTTAAGTTTTTAATGTGTACAATACTGGATTTTTTTTTAAGCACAGCACGTTGGAAAAGAGTTTACATGTGTATCATCCAGCCAGACTCTAAAGTGTTTGGCATTCAGATGTGTAGTAACAGTTCTAATATGATATAAGAAAAAATGATGTACTGTGAAAATTTGGACAACTGGTCAAAACTTAAAGCTTGCAGACTCAGATGTCTAAAGACAAAAAGATACCTTATTTTTTTACAAATTCATGAAAAACACCTCAATCTTCAAAAAGGACAGAAAGATCCCTCTAAGGCATAGGCAAAAGAAGCAGCAAGCACACAGAAGATCACTATCGGTCACATGTCAGAAGTCTGAATGCAGTCAGCTATATATCATCATGTATCTAGAATGAAAGTATTTTGCTCTATTAAGTGAGCTATGAATATAGTCTATGCCTAAATAATTCCAACAGACGCTTCATTTTTAAAAGAAAATACTCTCATAGCACTTATTTACCCCTTTAATATTCCTCATGAAGTTATTTTCGTGGATCTGTCCCATGTGAGACATCTACAATATAATTATTTTGGACAGCCTTTGTTTGTATATAAACATTCCTCAGTAAGGTCAAATATAAGTTAATTCAATTTTCTCACGCGGTCTGTCTCACCAAGCTCACAGTCACCGCGTTCTTTGTTGCCTGGCTCCGGTGTCTCTCTCTCCCACCACACAGGCTCGATGTCTCCGCTAGGAAAGCGGCAGCACCGCAAGAGCATTACCACTACAGCTTTCGGAACACGGAGCCGCTCCGACCGGGATGTGCGCTAACTACTGCTGACTGCAAAATACACTGGAAGTCGCTCACGTTCAATCTGCTTTAACTTAACTCCGCGCAAAGCTTCTTAAACCAATACGAAGCAAAAACTTCACAGAGGAATCATTTCCAAACACAGAGCTGCCAGAGCATCAGAACTGCACGGGAGGGGGGCCTAAAGTTTCCCTCCCCTCCCTTGTTTAAACACGTACACAACCGACTACAAGTCCGCAGAGAGAGCACTCGGCCAGGTGCGGGAGGTTTTCTTACAACTCCTGGGCCTAAGCTCCCGGGAAGCACCCCCGAAAGGGCGGCAGGGAAGCCGCAGGAGCCGCTCTCGGGAGGCCCCCGCGCTCCCGGCAGCGCCGCCGGCACCTGTAGCCGCCGCGGCCGGGGCCGCCCCGCCCGGCCGGGACCCGCGGCCAGGGTACAGCCCGGGCCACCGCCAGCGGGGTGCTGGGACCGGGGCCGAACCCCGAGAGCCGCCGAGCTCCGCCGTCCCGCCCGGCCTCGGCCCGGCCGGACCCCCGGGCCTGCGCGGGCGCCGTGGCCGAGGGGGAGGCTCCGGCCAGCCGAGACTCGCGGCTCCGCGGCGGGACCTGTTGCTCGCACGACGTGCACGGGCGCTCCGCTCACCGTCCGTCTCCTTCCGCCGCTGACACGCTCCGCTCCGGCCCGGCCGCCGGCTGGAAGTCGGAGTCTCCGGCGTCTCGCAGCGTCCCCGCGCCCAGTCCGCGGAGCCGCCCGGCCACGGCCCCCGCAGCGCTGCGCAGCCGCCGCCCAGCCCGGCCCGGCCCGGCCCCGCGCCCGCCCCAGCGCCCTGCCCCCGCAGGGGCGGCCGGGGCTGCCGGCACGGGGCTGCCGTCAGGTGGAGTGGGCACATGAGACGTGGCACTGCTCCTGTGTCTCCTTCCTCGCAGAATCACGGAATCGAGGAGGTTGGAAAAGACCTCTGAGATCATCGAGTCTGACCTGTGACCGAACACCACCTTGTCAACTGGACCCTTGCACTGAGTGCCACGGCCAGTCTTTCCTTAAACACTTCCAGGGACGGTGACTCCACCGCCTCCCTGGGCACCCCATTTCAGTCAGTTTCCCGCCGTCATCTCCCATCTCTCTACCACGGCTTTCTCTGCGCCCCCGAGCGGGACCCCCACGGCAGCCTGTGTCCGGGCGGACTTGGCTCGCCCACCTCGTCCCCCGCCCGCTGCGGCTCTGCGGGGCCCTGGGCGCACCAGGCCACTGCAAGGCCTTTGTCCTCCGCCTTCCCTGGCGTTTCCCCGCTCGCCTGCTGCTGCTGCTGCTGCATCCTCAGCCCAAGCTTGAACACCCCAGCCAGGCTGGAGCCTGTGTGGGGAAATAAAGCATTTAATCTCATCGACAGTCCACTCTGCCTCTGGGAGGCTGAGGCGCAGGAGGCACCCATAACACGCTGTCTGGAAGAATGAAGAAAACAGGAGGTTGGAAGTAGTTTTACCGGGTTGTTTGTATTCTTGGCTGTGTTTTTCAGGAACAGGGAAACGTCTTTTCAGCGTGCAACGTCTTTGACTTTTGAGATGCAAAGTCAAAGGGGAGCTGCACTCCCCGCAGGGAAACGTCTTTTCAGCGTGCGACAGTTAAGTTTGACTTTGAGATGCAAAGTCAAAGGGGAGCTGCACTCCCCTGGTTTTTCAGGCTAGCCTGCCTAGATCATTGCTCAAGGCATTAGAAGAAATGTTCTGTGTAACCAGACTAGTAAAAAAAGGCTTTCTTAGATAACTAAGAAGTCCGAAGAGATACCTGCTTTAGTCCATCTCTCCTTCCTTTGGTTTAACCATATAAAAATCGGAGCCATTTAACTCTATAATTCTTCACAGTGAAATCCACGCTTTCTATAATGGTACCCTATAGATCATGTTTTCTTTTGGATCTGTTCTAAACACTGAGATACAAAGATTTTTCAATTTTAATTTAATTTTAGAAGTCCCAAAATAACGTTCTTATGGTTTTTCTTACTGTGTGAAAAGGCTTAAGACACTAAGGTATGTCCTGCCCAGTTACCTGCAGAGGAAAGTCTGAAAGCCTTTTTTACCTTTTCACATTGTGGCTCAAACTCCCCAGGGCAGTAATGCCTTGTAAGTGCATTTAACATCTATTAACATCTATTAACATATTAACATCTATTTCTGTTCTGACCAATAATGAGGAGCTTTGCATCAAGTGAACACAACTGGAGCACTGCAGGAGATACAGATGTTAGTGGACTGCAGAATTATTTACTTGGGAAATAAAAAAGAGAGGGAAACCATTACACTGGTAATTTGTGGCTGAGCAGCACCAAGCGTGGTTCTTCTCACCTTCATATGAACACGGTTCATGAAAGTTCACATGGACCCATTTTTAGAAAGCACTTTGACAAAAAGGACCTTAGAGCCAAATAATGTTTTCAAAATGTGATACTTGCCTAGAAGATATCACTGCAAAAAGTAGGTAGGTTCATCAGTTATCTGTTCATTGTTGAACTCTCTTTTCTACATCCAAGGTTGGGATGGTCAGAAAAAAAAAAGCCACAAATTCTGCTTACAATTTCCTTCAGCTGATAGCATTTGTACATTCCTTTCCACAGAAAATCTCATTGTCTCCAATTTGCATGTTGTCCAGCAGCCATTTTTTAAACCAGGATAAGGGAATTTTATTCAATATGGTGTGAAATTTGTCATAAAATAAAGGAGGATTCTCATCAGTTCTAGAGTTTCCATTTCCCTCCTTTACTGTCTTGTACCTGTAGCTGAAGTCTAATGTTTTTGCCAGAAGGGGTTACTAGACCAGGTTAAGACTGAGCTTGGGATATCTCTTGGATCTATCTGCTTAAAGATCTGTTTGTTTCTTTGGTAACCAATCTCCTCCCTCTGGCTTTCACAAGGCATCACAGAAACCTTAATATTAGCCCGCACCCAGCTGGCAAATCCATTCAAATGGTACTTGAATGAGATGTGCTTGGCTAATTCTATCCCACAGATTAAAATACTCTGTCAGGCCAAGAAGTTGTCATACCTGGTAACGATTCACAATAGAGCACAGGATCAGCAGCATTATTTGTGAAGACCCAGATAACCTTTGTTTTGAATCACTTCAGTAGACAGCTCTTATGGTTCATTTAGCCTTGTGGGTGCTGTTTGGTGGTATGCTGAGCACACAAAAATTACTCTGAGTAAATGAACATTTTAGCTTGAATTTAACAAAATTGTCAAATTAAAAAGAAAATATACAGAGAAAGAACGTGAATGAGAGGATGAGGAATGACAATGGAATGATGATTGGGAAGATCAAAGCTTTTAATCTTCCTTTGTTTTGTCTTAGGTGATTAATCTTTCATATGAGGATCTACAAAGACAGCTTTTAAAGGAAATGAGAAAACTACTTACCAAAGTAGTATAAAGCTTTCTGTTCCATCGCTTGTTGAAAGTGTTCAGTTATTATCTTTAAGCAGAAAGGAACTGAAAAGAAATACCCAAGTGATACCTTTTGTGAGCTTTGGATCTTTGAACATTTTCATTTTAGACATTTTTTCTATATTTTTACTATGTGGGATTATGGAAACATTAAAGCCTGCTTGCAGCTGCAGAACCAGTGTATTTAGGCAACTTTATTTATTATAGAACTATCTTTTTAAGATTGGTGCATTCATTCCACAGACAAATATTTTTTAACAAAGAGAATGTTCATTTTTGATGAACTGAATTTGACATGAATTGGTGTCACTGTTTGCCAGCAGCGTGCAGATATAATTGTGATCAATCTAAATCTGGCTGATTGCAATCAATGGAAAAGAGAAAAAATAAATTCAGACTCAAGCTGAGGAATCAGCCTATCACAGAACAAAATGTTTTCTTTGAAACCATTGCCCTCTGGAGGGGAAATGAAAAATCACCAAAGGATTAGGTAAAAATTCCTTTTTATGGCACTGTTTAACTATATTTATGCTTTGCAGTCTATGAATGGTTCTACAGACAGTTGCAAAAAAGCAGTGCTGTCAGAAGAGCCTCACTGGCCACAGTGCTTATGTCAGTGGGTTGGAGAAGTAATCCCCATCTGTCTGCCCCATAACTCTCCTCCCCTTTATCTCTAAACTCTTTATCTCTAAACTCACAGAGCATCAATTCTACAGCAGATGTACTTTCTCTTCTAACTGCACCTTGGATCCCTTCCAGGCTGGTGTCATCCCTCTTTATTTGCCAAAATACTTTTTAATGCAATCCCTAAGGCATCCTTGTCTGCCTGATGCCAGACTCTGTATTCCATTCTCTTTCTTGACCTTTCTGCTGTTTGTTTGGTTAGTTCTTTTATGATAATAGAATAAATCTTGATTACCCTTTTCTTCTTGATCTTTAATTCTTGTACTGCTTTGAGAAATTGTGTACTGTTCTTTTTATCTCTCCACTTTCATGTCTGACATCTATTGAAATAGACTTTTTTCCTCCTGTCTCTGAGAACTTCACAGGGATTTTTCCCTTGGCCTTCAGATATTGATAGCTTATATCTTGGATAATCACATTTAAATGTCACCTGTAATTGAATATGAATGAAAGTGAGCTCCTACCTGCTCAGACTTTGTCTATATATTCTCCCTGTGTTGCTGGGGAAATGACAGTGTCTCTCAGTGAACTTTCCAGTCTGATTTACAGCAATCTGACATTTCCTGACTACAAATTTGATGATTGTTTTAACTCTTAAGTAGACACATGCCCCAGCCATCTGAAAGAATGTAACAGCAGCACTAGTCCACATGTAGGGCTGGTTGCATTCAGTATCTAATGTTTTGATGAAGAGTGCAAAACACCAGAGTCCATAAACTAAATTCTGCATTAGGCAAGAAAAAAAAAAATAGAATTATTGGTCTCTATAACCCAGCAACAGAAACCCTAAATTTTGAGATCAATACAGGAATCCAATTTCATTTCAACATTTTTCATTGTTCAGGACAACAAATACCAAGGATTCAAATGCAGTTATGTTTTTCTCCTTGATAGCATCTAGAATTTTTGCTTATTTCATATTCAATAACCTAATTCTGCATTCACGTTCTTCTGGGTAGCCAGAACATCTTCCTCTCTGGTTTCTGGTGTCTTCTGCCACTCCTTATAATCCTTCAGATAAAAAAATTGTACAACTCCAAGTAAGGTCATAATATTTATGAGTAGGGTCATAAACCCAGCAGCAGTTCAGCTGTGGAAAAAGGTTAATCTCCAGAAGAGGTGTCTTAAATCTGGGAGTACTATTCATCCCTCAGTGTGAGGTTTTAAGCTCAGAAATAGGAATGGTTCCCAGAGGATTGGTGCCCCAAATAAAAACTGAAAGTGAGGTTGTTAGTGTAACACTTTGGGGCACTATTTTTAATCCAGAAAAGAAAGAACAGGCAATAAAAATTAGCCTTCTTCCACTGTTTCCCCCTACTAAGTTGTACTCAAATTAGTGATTATCTTATCTCTTTGTATCTGTTTGCTGATTCTTGTTTTTCCTCTATTTGTGAAGAAATTACAACCTATGACATAGCTCAGGGATCTGTGAGAAAATAGGTAAAGAACCAACAAAAAGAACCAACAAAAGTTTCAGCAGTTGATACTGCCTAAGGAAAATACTTAGATGTTAAATCCTGCTGAAATAAGACATTTGTGGTTTTTAGATTCTTTCCAGGTAGAATCGTCTTTCCTGAAAGCCAGCATAGTGGTGGTAATTATGTTAAAGACAAGACCTTCGTCTCTGATCATGCTGCAGTGTAAAGCTTGAGATTTACATATTTGTCACCCAAAAGTGTGACACTACAGTTCACATATTTTATAAACCTGAAATGCAATAAATTTTTCTCTTGAATGCAAACTAGATGTACAGTAAGACAGCTGTAAGATAGTGTAAAACACACAAAGTCATAATTCTCCTTGTTCCCTTTTTCTGAGTTTTCACTGAAATAATCTTGCATGCTATGCTTTATGAGTTTTTTGGTATAGACTTTCAGTTTGTCTGTATGATACTGCACCCCAGTATGATAACTCTCCTCTCCCTTAATTACCAACACAAGAAGATTTGTGGCTAATCTGTGCTGTACCTTTA